AGTAGAGAACTTCAATACCCTACTTTCAACAGTGGATAGATCACCCAGACAGAAAATCACTAGGGACACACTGGACTTAAAACTGCACTTTAGACCAGATGGACTTAATAGACATTTACAGAACATTCCATCCTCAAGCACACATGGAACATTCTCCAGGATAGATTATATGTTAGGCCACAAAACAAGTCTTAATAAATTTAAGGAGACTGAAATCATAGCAAGCATCACAATGGATGAATCTAGAAATCAATTACAAGAAGAAAACTAAAAAATTCTTAAATATGTGGAGACTGAACAACATGCTCCTGAACAACCAATTGGTCAAAGAAGAAATCAAAAGAGAAATCAAAAAATATCTTGAGACAAGTAAGAATGGAAACACAATACACCAAAACTTTTGCAAAAGCACTTCTAAAAGGGAAGTTTGTAATAACGCCTACATTAAGAAGAAAGACCTCAAGTAAACAACCTAACTTTACACCTCAAGGAACTAGGAAAAGAAGAATACATAAAGCCCAAAGTTAGTAGAAGGAAGGAAATAACAATGATCAGAGTGCAAAACAATGAAATAGACTAAAAAGTCAACAGAAATGATCAATGAAACTAAGGGCTGGTTTTCTGAAAGTTAAACAAAATAGACAAAACTTTAGCTTGATTTACCAAGAAAAAAAGAGGACTCAAATAAAATTAGAAATGAAGAATTCCAAAACACGTCTCCAAAAGCTCTAACATTTTGATAGACAAGACAAAAGAAGAACTGACAGCAGAGGCCATGTTTTCTGGACTTCAAAGGTGGCTATGGGAACTCCACAGTTAGCTATAAAAATAGTGCTGAGAGGAGGAGGAGTTTCCAGGGTTGACGGCTGTTTTCCGAAATAGTGGGATCCTGGCAAGCAAGGAAGTCTCGAACAGCATGGCACAACTATGATTCAGGTTTGACAGATTTATCAGCCTGACCAAGAGATCTTTAAACTGGATATTTGAGAAGGAAAAGAACCCATTTAATATTGCATGCATTCCCAAAGAAAGTACACAGACCACAGGGGTATCCCACCTTGGAACCAAAGGTTGGGAAGGCTGCAGAGCAGGCACAGGCACTTGGTGGCACACCTGTCTTTCCTTACTCACCTGCTACACCTGATAAGTGGTGTTTTTTCCTCTTCCAACACGTGGTTTTAAGGGTGCTCAATTCAATTGGCCCAAACTGATGGAACAGAGAGGCTTAGGATAGACTTCAAATTTCTCTAGCTGACACAAAAGCCACTTGTAACCCTTCCCCAGCAAAAACATTACAACATTAAGAAGAACAAAAGCAATGCTTCCCTGTCAAGTCAAGATGGCAAGGAAGCTGTCCAGTTTATCATTAGGTTGGGGGCTGGACAGTACTCCGAAATGAAAATTCACACAGGCATTAACATAAGGCACTGCAATAAATTAAGAAGAACTGTCTTTATAATGATAGGGTAGTTTATACCAAAAGAGCTATAGACCTAAGTGTGACCTATCAGATCCTGCTTAGAGAGAGCTTCTCCTTAAACTATATCTAAATTATTTACGAAAGAAGGGTAAACATCAACAAAAAATAGCATGCTAAAATCTGATGAATGCAGCCATCCACCAAACAAGTACTTACCAAATAAGTAAGTTAAAGTAAACTTGTGTCTAGCTACAAATGCATATAACTTAAGTAAATGTTCACTGTGATACAACTGGTAATTGAAAGTTTTATTTTGTTTGAAGAGCAAACCTCATAAAAATCTTAACTACTGGATTCAGATAACATTCCAACAGTCCAAATTATATTGTCATATTCTACCATAATCTACCTGTCTCCTACAGTTCAGGAGAGGTATCTTAACCTATGTTTTATCATTTGACCTTCTTGCTTCTCACTCTAGGGAAGGATCTAAATTCATTTTCGGTGGCCTGAATAGAGCTTACCAGGCAGTCGTCCAAATGGAACAGAGAACAAGTTCCAGTAATTTAGGCTCACCTGAAGCAAAATAAAGACACCCAGAAGACAGGCCCTAGTAACACAGAGATTACAGAATGAGAGACGGGGAAGAGGGCTCCCTTTTCCCCATCCTGCTAAGATCCATGGAAACAGCCCCAAGGGCAGCATTCTTACTGCTGATGTCACGGGAGCTATGAGGTAGTTTGATACTAATAAGAGTTACAAACACAGAAGTCTGTGGTCGCTTTGCTTTCTTTGCTTTACAGCCAATTAGAGGTTATCTCTGTAATAACCACAATTCCCCCTCACAGTCCCAAACGGACTGAGTAGTTATGGAAGGAGTGGAATTATAACTGGAGGGGAGGATGGGGTAAAACTGCAGCGGGGGAGCCTGCTGAGGAGATGCCCACAGGGGCTTCTGTCACAGAGATCCCAGAAGAGCTTAGGAATTGTGGTTTTACAGTTGCTTCCATGTGTTTCTAAAATTTTGCCTCCGGATTCATAGTGAAAGCACAGAGAGTGTATCGCCATAACTCTACATCTATAATTTTATGAAATTTTCAGTGATAACAACAACAGTTACAATGACTGATCACAAGTGGGTAAAATGCTGATGTGATTGAAACTTACAATGCTATGTATAAATAATATTTAAAATAGGAAAGCCTCTCATTTTATGTATTGCTAATGTTTTTTTATAAATTTTTTTTTAATTATTATTTTTTTTTTTTGCGGTATGTGGGCGTCTCACTGTTGTGGCCTCTCCCGTTGCGGAGCACAGGCTCTGGATGCGCAGGCTCAGCGGCCGTGGCTCACGGGCCCAGCCACTCCGCGGCATGTGGGATCTTCCCGGACCGGGGCACGAACCCATGTCCCCTGCATCGGCAGGCGGACTTTCAACCACTGCGCCACCAGGGAAGCCCAAATTTATTTTTTATTTATTTATTTTTGGCTGTGTTGGGTCTTCGTTGCTGCGCGCGGGCTTTCTTTAGTTGCGGTGGGCGGGGGCTACTCTTTGTCGCGGTGCATGTGCTTCTCATTGCAGTGGCTTCTCTCGTTGCGGAGTGCAGGCTTCAGCAGTTGTGGCACGCAGGCTCAGTAGCTGTGGCTCGAGAGCTCTAGAGCGCAGGCTCAGTAGTTCTGGTGTACGGGTGTAGCTGCTCCGTGGCATGTGGGATCTTCCCGGACCAGGGCTCGAACCCGTGTCCCCTGCATTGGCAGGCGGATTCTCAACCACTGCGCCACCAGAGAAGCCCCTGTATTGCTAATGTAATAACACAACTCATGTTGTTTTGCTTATTAAAAGTAAAAAAGAAAGAAGGCGCTCTGGCATGGCAGTAGTGAGGAAAAGACTACGAGCTTAATATGCACTAACGAAGCCATGTGGCTGATTAAAAAACCAATGTCCTTTTCTACTGCGTTAAAAGCAGTATAGCATTAAAATCACAGGAAGTGATCATACAGCTAACTGCATTTGGTATTGGTAAGAGAGCATCTTGAATTGTAAACTCAAATTTGGCCATCGATTGTAGAAAGGAATTTAAAACTTAGAATGTCCCCCCTAGAAGAAGAGAACCAGAATGGTGAGGGGTCTAGAAATCATGCCACATGGGTAAACAGTTGGGCAGAAAGGAAGGAATGAACATAGTACTTAGCCTGGAAAGGACAGGAAGGGTTGTCCTAACCAGAAGCCTTATTCTCATAGCTCGAAGGCAAAGCTAAGATCAGTGAGTAAAAATCATAGAGGTTTCAACTAACAACTTTCAAACGGGCAAACATCCCACATGTACAAGCAGTGACCTCCCCAGCACAGGAGGCAATCAGTCACAGGATGTGCCCTCTCTCAATAGGAGGGTGGGGCCAGTGACCTTTAAGCTTTCTCCAACTCTAAAATTCTGTGATTTTTTTGAACCTCAAATATACTAGTTATCTTTAGAACTGAAACATCACTGCTGAGTCAAATATATCAGTAAAAAAACAAGTGACCCAACCACTGGATTTTTCAGATTGCAGACATTTATCAACTCCAGTCAGGAAATGGAAAGAAGGCTGCCTCTGCCCTGTTAACATGCCACACGGTGATCCAAGCTTTGTTTGAATATATTTCAGAGGTAAAGGAAGGCATGTTTTCTGCAAATTACACATTCTTACCTTTGTCTCCTGAACAAGAGCCATACAAAAAATTTCCAATCCCATTTCACCCTCACCATAGGACACCTTAGCACCTGAACACGTAAACATAAGGCCACAGGCTTAAGCCCAAAGACCCCGTCTCCGTATTTTCTTTTAAGTTAATGAAATTGAATTTCATCATTTCATGCACATTTTAAGGGACGTAGCATTCCATACGTCATCTATTACACTTATAAAATCTTGCAGAGTGAAAGAGATTTGCAAAGCAAACCGTAAAACTTACTCAACCATATTCTACAAAACTGCAGTTCTAATTTTAAGGTTTGAACTTCAAAAAAACAGTCGTAGAATAACCATGACTGATTTTTGATGCCCCAGACCCCCTGGGTGCTAAGGTTGCAGTCATTTTGCATTGCTGCCACTTTAGGTCTCAGAACTGACTTAGGTACCCAGGAGGCCAATACATTCCCAGCTACAACGACTACAACTAAAATGTATCGCGTGCTTATAACCTGCCAGGCACTGCACATACCAAGGGCTCTCGCATCAGCTCAGATGCTGTTCTCACCATCCCAAGTGAAGTGGGATGAGTTTAAGCAATCTGAGCAAGGATGATAAACAAGGCACAGTTGCCTGACTCCAAAGCCCATGCTCTTTCTTCCCTGGTGTCCTGCTCAACGTCTGCACTTCAACAACAGTACTAAGCCCAAGTGCTGTGCTAAAAGCCCCGACGTCCCAATGGCAGCCTTGGGGCGGACCCCTTTCTCCCCAAGCGGCCCCACGCTGCTGCATCACTTGCACCTGTCCTCAAGCCAAGGGTGGCAGGAGAGGAAGGCAGAGATGATGACAACTTACTGTATCTGCGACTAATAAAAATATATTAAAAGGGAAACGGTCCCTACCAGAGCAATAAGGCATAACTATGGGTCTGTTGAAGTTTCACTCTGGCCAGCACTTCTGAAAGCAATGAATTCTGACCATCTCTGCTCGGAAAACTCCTCAATTTTGGACATATGCTGGCATAGAAGAAATTCTCTTGCAAGCTTCTATAAAAGTGAAAAATAGCAAAACTGCTTTGCAGAATCAGGAAATAACAACTTGTAAAAGAAATACTACACTGGATTTAGAAGTAACTTTAATTCAGTCTTTATCGACATGCTACTTTGTATCACCAAAAATCTAAAAGTCCAGAATTGCTTGAATTCACACTTGAGTCAACAAATCGCAGTCATAAGCGCTCATGAGTTAGAGGACATTTACGAGAAACGGGAAGGGGCCCTTCAGAGCATACTTCCTCTTGTCACCATCCACCCTCCACCTGCAGGTCCTAAGGGAGGGTGGACAAGTCTCCACCTGACGAGTGGGATGTCGGAGGCCTCCTGGCGAGAATTAGAAAGGCAGGACTTGCACTAACCTGGCCGCCAAAGGACTCCTTCTTGGCCGAGCTCTGAGCCTGAGGGGGGGCCTGGGCAGGCAACAACCTTGAGGGGCTCTTCTTACTCTGAGGCAGCAGCGAGGACAGGAAGCCCACGCGAGGCGACTGGGAGAGGGAAGCGTTCCTCTGGCTGCACACCATGGCTCTGGACAAGCAGACACAGCACAAGGTCGTAGCGCTGGAGGGGGAACCTGGGAGAACCCAGAGCACAGACCTCCCAGGCTATGGACGCTGCCAGTGACCAGGGCCTTGGCCAGGTTCACACGCCTGGGCCTTAAGGCGGCGTGATGCTTGGTGCTGTTCTCGTACGAAGGGAGCCAGCAGCCTAACTGGCACAATGGTGAAGGCAGCGGCTCTTCTTTGAGGGCCGTGGTAAAGCTCAGAGCAGCGCTGTCTAATAGCCACTGGTCACGTGTGGCACTGAGCACCTGAAATGTCTTTAGTCCAAATGGAGATTGTGCTGGAGGCGTAAAATCCACACTGGGATTCAAGACTGAGCATGAAAAAGAGTGTTAAATATCTCATGAATACTTTGTTTATGAATACGATATTTTGGGAAAGTTGGGCTAAATAAAATATATCATCATTAAAATTAGCTTGTTTTTCCTTTTTTTAACATAGCCACTAAAAATTTTTAAGTTAGATTTTTGGCTTGCACTTTATTTCCATCGGAGGGCGCTAGCTCAGGAACTAGAGCAGTTTCATCTGCTGCAGTACTTGGCCACATGCAGGTTTGGAATCTGACTGCCTGGGTTTGCATCCTGACTCACCAGTCGCTAATTCTGCGACCTGTGGTGCCTACGTCTCTTCAACTGCTATTCTTCTCATTGCCTGGGTGTTCGGCTGTAACTAGCTGTTTTTTAAGGTTGCTCAAATACCTCTCTTCCAACCTGCCTACCTTTCCAAACCCTGAGACAAGAGCATGCTTCTACGGAGAAATGTGTCCAACCTGTGGTTGGCAATCGTGTCATCCGAGAGGCGCTCCTTTCAGGGCACAGGAACTTCCCAGGGCTTCACGAAAGCGGCTGTGATTATTAACCCAGGCTGCACACGTCTGGATGTGCAGGCCCCTGGAAGAGCAGGCCTAGAGGCTGGGAGGTAGGGGACAACTAGAGGACCAGGGGACCTTACTCAGAAAGCTCAGACAAGAACAGTGAGCACCGGGGAGGCTCCTGGCAGTTCCACGTCATGGCCGGGAGGAGGGGAGAGCACAGGGGACAGAGGCGCGGAGTGGGCTCAGCACACACTCACAGTTCCGAGTCCCCCAGGCGGTCCATGTTGGAGACATAAGAAGGCAGTCTGTGCTGGACTAAGGCCTCTTCCTCTTCTGGCTGTTGCTCCTCTCTCTTCAGTCGGTGGATTTCAGCTTGCAGTGCAAACAGCTGCATAGAGGTGGGACGAGTAAGATGGGGATCTCACCCAGCCTTCCCTCCCCTGAGGAAGATTAGACTCACGTCACATCCGAAACCCAACCACACTGGCTCAAAGGCCGCTCGCCCTCAACCCTGGAGTGCCTCTCTCACTCTCTGCAGACTGGAAAGATGGGTGCGGCTGCTGGTGCTTGACTACAGGGAGGTGAGAAAACTAAAAACCGTTAGATATACAAAACCCACTTGTTTTTTTTTTTCTTTTTATCATTTGACTCGCTTCTTCCTGAATTCAGTGAGAAAAATAGTTCCACCCAATCCTGCTTTGCTCTTTGGAATCTACAAAATCAGACTTTGGAACTCAAACGGAAAAAAGAAATTTTAAATGAAGGTCAGCATTTTTGACCTTTTGCCTGAAAGAAAATTATACACACACACCCAAACCCAAGAATCTTAAACCCCCAAACCTAAACAGCTTGTAACCTTCCTTTTTCTAAAAAAATCCTCCCTTTTCTGAAGATGTGTCAATCTCAAGGTTAGAGAAATGCTCCTCAGGCAAAATGTAAAGGCAAATGTGGGTCCCCTGGAGCTATCATTGTACCAAACTAGAGAAACCTAGTTTAGCTTAGCTGAGAACAATTAAATCATTTCTGGTTTGTGAACAATACAGATGTGGGGACAGGTGGAAAAGGACTAGGGGTGGGAAGCAGACGTATGAAAGCAGGTTAGATGTAAGGTGACATCAATGCATAGAGTCTTTTTCCTCTTAAAAGTTCACTCCTGTTACTGTGTTGTTCGCACTACGTGACCTACAACGTGAACCTCACCTCTGGTTTTCCAAGACTTGTCACGTGGCCCCCAAATCCCCAACACTGCCTTTCTGGTGACTCACTTTCATCTGAGATCAGTGCTTTCCTCTACTGAAATCAGCCCTCCATGGCTAGGACCTAATTTTACACATGAAAAGCAGAAGTACTTCCCAAGGAGCAAGCATTGTTCGCAACAAACCTTCTGGCGCAGAACTTCATTTTCTTCCTGAACCTGGTTGGTCCGCTGGCACTCTGCATCGAAGTTCAGGATCACGGGAACCGGTGCACCAAGTTAAAGAATAAACCTGCCTCTTAATCAGCTTGACTGTGGTGATTATGTCACTATGTGTACGTACCCCGAACCATCAAGTTTTATACCTTAAATATATACAATTCTTAATTGTCAATTATCCTCCAACAAAGCTGGGAAAAATAGCCGATTAAAATAATTCAAATCAAAAAATAAAATTCAAATCAAAAAATATATTCTATCACAAACTCTGCAATAGAACAATTCAATACAAAAAAAAAGAAAGAATAAGCCTGCCTGTAAAACGATTAAAAGCCCTTCCCAAACTCTTGACACCACACCAACACCCTTGAACGTGACACAGAGTAAAAACTCTGTGCTGTGGGCTCTTCACAGCTTCATGAATAGTCTCTCCCTTGACACCGGGCCTGGCCTGACTTCCTTCAGAGAGACTCACGGACACATGACAACCCGCCTGGCTAGCCCACAGAGAGGACATAAATCCAAACCTGACGCTTTCTCCCAAATGCCAGCAGTAGAGGGCTAGTATCCTGCGGGCTTCACAGCCAGCCTAAGCTTTAGTGACACGGAGCAAAAAGCCAGCCCAGCAGCCAGTGGCTCTGCGGGCACACCGCCCGCTGCTCCACCAGCTGGGCAGAAGGGCTGGCCACTCGCCTTTCCCCTCCGCAGGTTGAGCCTCTCTGGCAGAGGTTCAGACTGAGAAGCAAGCTTTCTGCAGACTGCCACCCTGTGAGCACCCACATTCTAGGTCACGGTGTCAGTCTTGCCTGACCACCTCAAACAGCTTCAGTCCAGAGGAGCACAGAGCAGGCAGGGCCTCAGTACCGGGGAAGCAAACTTCCCTAGAGGGCCCACGGGGTCAAGCCGTAACCACCTCTGGGCTGGGCGCCCCGTTAGTTTTGTTTGAAAGCCCTGGGGATGAAGGGCAGCAGCAGGGGGAGAGAAAAGGCCAACCTGGCAAGGGCGTAATTCACACTCACCACAGCACAAAAGGAAACACTCCCTTCCTACCTCCACCAGAAGACATTCCTCCCAGAGCCAAAAGGAGATGGTGGATGGGCCTCTCCCCACGTCCAGTTTATCAGTGACTCACCAGACAGCCCCATTCAAACCAGACTCCCTTCTCCTCCCGTGGAATTCCTGCTAGAGAGCAAGAGTGAGCGAGGAGGATGTCCTGGGCTTTCCACGACAAAATGGTAAATACGGTCGGCTGCAAATTATTCACATCCTCTCTCTCTTAAATATCCACCTATATTCTTAAAGCTGCTCTGTCCTCTGACAAGTCAAGGGATCCTAAGGTCATTATAAAGACAGTGACCCAGGCACTAACACAGGGAGGAAGTTCCAGCCCTAGAAGTGTTCTCACCTGCTACCTAATCCCAGCAAAGGCAAGTGAATCCTGAGGGACACAGGGCATGCACAAAGGGTGCTCTCAGGGTTGGCCGGTTTCGCTGCAAAGCAGCTCTGCACTGACCCCTGCCTTTGCTGAGAGAGGCCCTATTTGAGGGCTCCTATCCCCCCACTGCTAGTACAGTCCCCACCCACACATGTCCACTATTCCGCAGCAGAGCTGCTAAACAACCGTAATAATGATTACAATTCCCGACCTACGATCTCCGGCCTACTGATCAAAATAACCACAATCTGTCCAGCCCCCTCACGTGACACATGACAGGGATCCTTGGGCATTTTGTAGAAGAAACGATTGCATTAAGAGCAGCCTGGGCCCCCAGCCCCGGGCAGCTGAGAGGATATGCATGCACTGAAACAGGACGCTCAGGAAGTTGTGCAGGGACACGATGAAGGTGTCGGCCCACTGGCGAGAAAAGTAGGTAGCAAAGATGGGGTTGGTGTCTGGGGATGGCAGGAAGGGCAGGACAAACCAATCCTTCCACTCGGCCTGGTTCTGGAGCTCTGTGGCCTGCTTTGCAAAGAACTCCTGGGCCTTGTCACTTCTGTTTGTCTGCCAAGACACAGAGGAGGTAGCAAGGAAGGGGAAGAGACAGAAGTCCAGAGGTAAGATTCTTCACCACCGCACAGCAGACAGCCTCTGAATATTGGCCTGCTGGGTAAGTGGCCAAACATGATCTATAAACTCTATAAAATCAAAAGAATCATCACACTCAAGTTCCTTGTAACTTCAAAGAAGCTGGTTTAAACTAAAGTCCTGAGGGACCTCCCTGGCCGTCCAGTGGATAAGATTTCGCCTTCCAATGCAGGGGGTGAGGGTTCCATCCCCGGTCAGGGAGCAAAGATCCCACATGCCTTGGGGCCAAAAAACCAAAACATAAAACAGAAGCAATATTGTAACAAACTCAATAAAGACTTTAAAAATGGTCCACATCAAAAAAATCTTCAAAAAATTAATAAGTAAAATAAAATAAAGTCCTGATGATAAATACCATCCTAAAAATTAATTCCTAGTTGATTTTCAAATAATCTAAGTGATTTACTCCCCCAGGTCAGCCATAATCTTTATTACTCAAACTTTAACCCAGCTACTTATATTCTTCAAAACTCCACCCAGGCTTACGTGCTTAAAACAAAAGGGGAAATAGGAATGAGGAAGACAAGTCCAATCATCTACAGATGAGGAGAAAAAAAGTAGGAAAACAGTCAAAAATAATTTGCACTGTGACTGTTTCACCCTCTCCCAGGAGTAACAGAGAGAGCTGTCCCTAGGCGTTAAAAGAAAATCTATCTCTGGATCAAAGAACTCTCTCCACCAAGAAATCCCTAAACCAAAAGCACCTGGATTGTGTAGACGAGATAAAAGCGGAACAGGCTGGTTTTCAGCTTGTTGATGGTGGGTCTATACATATCCTCCAAACGGCTGAAGAGCCGACGTTCCAGGTAGTTCCAATAATCCCGAAGGGCAGCCAAGTCATACACCTGCATTAACTGCTGCAGCTGGTCCACAATCTTGTCCACCTGATGAGAGAAAGATGAGATGGAGAAGGCACTGAAGGACGGAAGGGAATTCTCTCCTCGTTCCACAGAGTTAATACAGCTTTTTCCTCTTGCTGTGGCTTCTGGATGTTAAATTTTTTTTTCTTTAAGTTAGCAATCTATAAAACTTTCAAAACTCAGTAACGTAATAGCTTTTAGGTTTTTTCCTGATGTAGGTATGTGTTTTGACCCTCTACCAAGCATGGAAATTGCAGGTGTAAAAGCACCCTGGCCCAGGAAGGAGGAGATCTGGGTCCAGGGCCTGGATCTGCCTCTGACTTACTCAGCCACCTTGGCAATGTCACTTCAACTCTCTGGTCTCAGTTCCTAAGCAAAAAAGACAGAGTGAGACAATCTCCATGCCCCTCTTCCTAACTCCTCCATTCCAGGATTCCAAGGCTCATGGTGAGATGTACTGTCTCCTTCAAGTCCTCAAAGCACTACCAAAGTCCTGGCAGTTGCTCAGAGTGTCAGCCAAAGGAGTCACCTCCTTGTGAGGAGCAATCATTCCAGAGTACACAAGAAGGAAAGGCTTTTGAATATTGATACCATTCCAACACACCCATTTTATAGATCAGGAACACTGAGGCTCGGACAGCTGAAATGATTTGCTTTTGCCACCACCAAGTAGCCACTAACTTCGGCAAGACAAGAACCCAGGTCTCCTAACTCCCCTCCAGTGTTATTGCTGCTAGCTCACTGCCTCTCTCAATTCACCTGCCAACACCAACTGAAGCCAGCAAATATACCCACAAATCACACACATATAAATTCCAAGAACTTCTCAACAGAAAATCATGTCTGAGCAGGGAAAGTATGTTTTCAAATGCACAAGGTCTTCCTCAATCGTGAAGCAAAACTGCCAATGAGTCACTGATAAAGCCATTTCAAACAGATACTTGAACCCAGCTAACATGTTGGGCTGCTGACTCCTTTGTTCCCAATGCCACTGGAAGCCAACTTCAGAATACTTCTGCTGCCAAAACCCCAAACATCTACCCCACGTTAGCTCCTAAAACCTCATCGCCATCCTGACCAATGACTGGCCAGCACCTGCTGAGAGGCTGGGGGTGGAGAAGGGAGCCCCGGACCAGGAGTCAGGGCACCTGGGCTCCAGCCTCGGCGATGCTCCTAACTCGCTGGGTAACTTCAGGCAAGTCACGTCCTCTCTCAGGGCCTCAGTTCCGCATCTGTCAAGCGACTGTCGCACGCGCTGATGTCGACGGTCCCCCTGGCGCGGTGACAGCGCCGCTCCCGCCCCGGAAGGCAGTGCTGGGGGAGAGCCAGCTCCGGGCTCCCTCGGGGCCGCCTCTGCCCGCGCCGCGCCCGCCGTCCCCTCACCCGGAACCCCTTCTCCTTGTCCGCCTTGATCTCGGCGTCCAGCTGCCGCAGCGTGTGCGTGAAGCCGCGGAAGAGCAGGTACTCGCGGACCAGCTCGTCTGTGCGCTCCACTGCCTCCGCCATCTCTGCGCCAGCGCCGTGAGGGACCGCGGCGGCCCAGGGAGGGAGGGGCGGGGCCTAGGCCGCGCGGGGCGGGGCCTGGCGCGGTCGCCGAACACGTCACGCCGCGGCCGGCCTACCAGCCCGCACGCACCGCTCGCCGCGCGTCTGTGGACCCGCCCCGGCCCCGCCCCGCGACACCATCACCCAGCTCCAAGAGCGAATGAAAGAAGCACTGCCCGCCGGGGTTTTCTGGCAGCGCTGGCAGCGGCTTTGTCATCTGAGTTATTGAAAGTGGCGGCTGCCGTCCAAGTCAAGTAGGGCTGGACCTTGGAGATTATCCCAGATCGTCACGAGGCGGGCGAGGGGCTGAGGTGACCTGCTCGTTGGCATTACCTCGCGGAATCCTCTGTGATCTGCCTGCCC